CTCCTCCTCCTCCTCCTCCAGCAGCGCGCGCGGCTCTCCCGCGGCCGACGCACGTTGACCTCCGCCGTCCCTCCCTCAGGGAGGGCGGGCCCCCCATGGGTGGCCAGTTGTCTGGGACGGCGGCAACTCCCAGGGTGGAGGGGTCTGCCGGTCGGGGCCTATAGACTCCGATACGCGGGAGCATCCTCCCCAGACATGCGACGTCCTGATTTCTCCAATACGGCGCCCCCGGAAGTCCCAACACTTTCCCCTGGACGGGCTTCTCATCCTGAATCGCTCTCTGACGGCCCCGGGGCCTCGCAAGGGCTTCCAGGGGCCGACGACGGCAAAAAACCTGTCCTGAAATATACGACGCGATCATGCCTGTGCAGGAGGAAGAAGAGGAGGAGGAGGCGGAGGAGGAGGAGGAGGAGGCGGAGGAGGGACGAGGAGGAGGAGGAGAAAGAAGAGGAGAAAGAGGAGGAGGAGGAGGAGGAAGAGGAGACAAAGAGGGAGGAGGAGGGAGGAGGAGGAGAAGGAGGAGGAGAAAAAGAGGAGGAGGAAGAGTGAGGAAGGAGGAGGGAGGCGAGGATGAGGGACGGAGTAAGAGATCTAGGGAGGAGGACAAGGAGAGGAAGGAGGAAGGAGGGAGGAGGGAGGGACGGAGGAGGGAAGAGGGAAGAGGGACGGGGGAGGAGGGAGGAGAGGAGGAGGAGGAGGAGGAAGAGGAGGAGGAGGAGGACGAGGAGCCCTGGGTCCTCCTCCTCAGCCCCCCCCTCTTCCCACCCCTCCTCTCCTCAGTTCGCTGCCCACCGTTCGCCGATCGCTGCGCGCGCAGGAGGCGCCGCCGCGCCCCTGTGACAAGAGAGCGCGCAGGCCCGCCCCGCAGTGGGAGAGGAGGAGGCTGCGGAGGAGGGAGGAGGAGGAGGAGGAGGAGGAGGAGGAGGAGGAGGAGGAGGAGGAGGAGGAGGAGGAGGAGGAGGAGGAGGAGAGGAGGATGGAGGAGGGGGAGGAGGAGGAGGAGGAGGAGGAGGAGGAGGAGGAGGAAGAGGAGGAGGAGGAAGAGGGAGGAGGGACGGGAAACGGAGGGGGAGGAGGGACGAGGGAGGGGAAGGTGGAAGAGGAAGGGGAGGGAGAAAGCGGCATCCACCGCCGCCACCACCGAGCCTCGACAGGGCCTGGTCCAGGCCCGGACCCTCGGCCGTGCCTCGGCACGGCCCAGGCCAGGGGCCGTGCTGGGCGCCCAGGGGGGCGCCCCGCGGATGCCAGCCGGAGGTGCCCACTTGTGTTCGGCAAGACGAGGCTCGGGCGCACACTCGGTCAAGAGCGACTCCGAAGCGCAGCACAGCACAGCACAGCCCCGCAAGGGAGCACCTGCGAGACCGCAGTGGGTTGGCGCCGTGGCGCCAGCATGCAAGGAGGAAGGTGAGCAATTATGGCGGTCACTCAGGGGTCGAGGTCGGTGTCGCGTGCGGTCGCGCGAGGGAGCACGCGGGCAACGGACTGAAATGGCACAGGAACGACTCCGAAGCACGCTGGACGTTGCTGGGAGGCAACTCCTGGGAGGTCCTCGCAAGAACGGGTAGCCCAATGAGGGGGCCACTAGACCGGACGAGGCCAGAGCGAGCACAAGAATGGGCTGGATCCAACGGGATCAAACCAGACTGACCAGGATTACGCTCCACTTGGCCAGGGGCTTCCGACCATGGGTGTACCAGCGCTGATGCCGACACCATGGGTGTACCGCCTGATGCCGCCTCCTCTCCTCCTCCTCCTCCTCCTCCTCCTCCTCCTCCTCCTCCTCCTCCTCCTCCCACCTCCTCCTCCTCCTCCTCCTCCTCCTCTCCTCCTCCTCCTCCTCTCCTCCTCCTCCTCCCCTCCTCCCTCCTCCTCCTCCTCCTCCTCCTCCTCCTCCTCCTCCTCCTCCCTCCTCTCCTCCTCCTCCATCCTCCTCCTCCTCCTCCTCCTCCTCCTCCTCCTCCTCCTCCTCCTCCTCCTCCTCCTCCACTCTCTCCTCCTACCTCCTCTCCTCCTCCTCCTCCTCCTCCTCCTCCTCCTCCTCCTCCTCTCCCTCCTCCTCCTCCTCCTCCTCCTCCTCCTCCTCCTCCTCCTCCTCCTCTCTCCTCCTCCTCCTCCTCTACTCCTCCTCCCTCCTCCTCCTCCTCCTCCTCCTCCTCCTCCTCCTCCTCCTCCTCCTCCTCATCCTCCTCCTCCTCCTCCTCCTCCTCCTCCTCCTCTCCTCCTCCTCCTCCTCTCCTCCTCCTCCTCCTCCTCCTCCTCTCCTCCTCCTCCTCCTCCTCCTCCTCCTTCTCCTCCTCCTTCTCCTCCTCCTCCTCCTCCTCCTCCCTCCAAACAGTGCGCGGGCAACGTCGCGACCCCTCACGTCGGGGGGGCGCCAGCCGACCACACCACCGACCCAGGCCAGGCCCGCCCACCCTTGGCCCAGGAAGTGGTCAGCTGACGCCTCAAAAGCAGGCCCAACCTAGGGAAACGAACAATGACATAAACACAAAAACTGGGAGGTCCGCGCTGATTCTTGGATGGGCGCTGGGGCCCACTGGCGCGCTCCGCGCGCCAGGGAGGGGGGTAGCGCCGATCCGAGAAATCCGCGCGGACCTCAGAGTTGTTATGTTTATGTAATCGTTCGTTCCCCTACAAACGCTCGTCGCGTCTCCCCCGCGTTCGCAAAACGACGTCTGGGGCCTACGCGACAGCGACGGCGCTCGGTGCACACTGCCACATACGTGGCGTCCATATCGAACACTCGCGGCTGTTAACGTGACGGCAATCCGTGCGCATGGCGAGCCTTGGGTGCGGCTCGTGCGACTGGCGGGGTCGCGAGAGCGAACGAGACAGCTTGGGAGCTTGGCGCGTAGCCCCCATACGGCAGGTTCGTGTCGTGACGACCTCGACTTCAGCCTCTGCCACCGCGTGGATCGTTCAACCTTGACCGATCGGCGATTGTTCGATCGCCACATCGTTCCACATTGGCCGACTATGGGCCACTGGCGGCGTTCAGCCTTGAACGCCCGCAAAGGAGTCGCTGCCGCAACGACACGACACGACCCTACCGTACCCCTCCCCATTCCCGCCAACCAGCCAACGTACCCCTTTCTGAGTGCAGTAAGTCAGTCAGACAGTCAGGTCGCCTTGCACCAGTCGGTGCGCAGGCAAGAGAGTATGCCACAACATAGTTACAGATCACAGGTGCCATGCGCAGAGAGCATGCTACAGCACAGAGTGCGCTACAGGCTTTTTGAGTGCAACAACAAGAGCAACAACAACAAACAGACAAACGCACAAACAAAAAGCATGCCAGCCAGCAAACAAGCAAGCAAACAAACAAACAACAAAAGCAATGAAAAAGAACAAACAACAAAAAAAACATAAAAAAACAGTGTGTGTGTGTATGTGTATATATAACAAAAAAATGAGCTCTGCCTGGGCGGCGCCGCCCAACCCTGCTCCTGCCCCCTTGCTGCACCGCCGTCGGTGCACTCTTGGTCTCGAGTTTCGAGAAAATGCGCCGATACCTGTGCCAGTCCCTCGTTTTCGCCGCCTGGGCCTCCCAAGCGAGCGGCCTCCCAGACGGGGTCGGAGCAGATGGGGTTGGAGGGTCGCGCCTCATCGTCGTTGCATCGACGATGCATCGGCGATGCACCAACGACGTCGGCGATGCATCGGTGACATCGGCGTGGAGAAAATCGGGATCCGCCTCGAGCTAAATCTCCGATGCATCGGCGATGCGGCGCGACCCTCCGACCCCATTTACTCGAACCCCATTTCGGAGTCCTAGACAAATTGCCCTCGTCATCACGGCTGGCTTCGCTTCGAGATCCAGGTCGGATCGCACCCTGGGAGGGACCCCGGGAGTAGCGGTACGGGCAGGTTTTTGTTCGCCCGTCAAAGCCAAATCATCGATCACTGACCCTCCCCACTTCTTGCCTGCTTTCGGCTATTCCTTTCTCTACCCCCTATCCGGGGAACAATGGTATCGGTATCTGTTTGTTCGCCCGGAAAGGCCAGATCATCGGGCACTGACCCTCCCCCAATTATTCCACATACCTTCGACTATTCATCCTCCTGCCCCCCATCCCGTTCCGCAGCGTGTCGATCATGTTCTGGCGCCCCTTGCTCGGATCGCGCCTCTCCTGAGGCGCCACGGCGCATCCATTGCCGTGCTGCTGACTTCCATCCTTCTCCTCCTCCTCCTCCTCATCATCATCATCATCTTCCTCATCCTCCTCCTCCTCCTCCTCCTGCTCCTCCTCATCATCATCAACGTCATCCTCATCCTCATCCTCATCCTCCTCATCATCATCATCATCATCATCATCATCATCATCATCATCATCATCATCATCATCATCATCATCATCATCATCATCACAATCGTCATCATCATCATCATCACAATCGTCATCATCATCAGAATCACTATCATCAACAGCATCATCAGCATCATCATCAACATCATCATTATCATCATCACCACCATCATCGTCATCAACATCATTATCATCATCATCATCATCATCATCATCATCATCATCATCAGCATCAGCATCCTCATCATCGTCATGATCATCATCACCATCATCACCATCAGCATTCTCATCATCATCATCATCATCATCATCATCATCATCATCACCCTCTACCTTATCCTCCTACCCACACTCCTCCCATTGCCCTCGCCCGCCAACCGTTCCGACACGAGTGCTCCCAAAGCTCAGGACGGATCGAGCAGTCGCCGCCAATTTGTCAACAATCAACGTGCACGAGTACGGCCGCTCCTATGCACGGCAACCGCTTCGGAACTTCTATCCAGAATATCATCGCGTGGCACTGGGATGCCAAAGAAAAAGAACCGCCGAAACCGCCACAGGGCGGAATACACATGCGCTTAAAAGCGAGTTTTGCTTATTTTCACGGCACTTTTTTACCCAACCAAATACGAGGCGAAAACAAAACGCAACGACAACGTAAACCTGACATGGAGAAAGCACCATGGCGAAAGGAACCTCCAACCAACTTCTGCACACCGATAAGTGACACGATGTACTGTTCAACAGCCGCCTTCACAAACACCGTCGTATGGCACCCAACGAAAACCCGAATCTATCCTGTGAGTAAACAAAAGACATGTACATGTACGCCTCCATGATGCCGCTTGCACAGATGACCGCATTCAAACGCAAGCCATCGAAAGATGACCGCGTGCGTGTACAAATTCCCGGATACCCAGGAGGGTTCCAGATTACAAGCCCGCAGGCACAGTTTTCCGAATCGTTCCCAAGACGCGTGCCTCAAGGATTACCGCAGCTGCTTGGCAGCTCCTCCGAAGCTCTTCGAAGCTCGTTTTTCGAAGATTACAAACTCCCCAGGCATATTTTCCAAGGTCCTGGCAAATCCTGGACAGCGTCTTCTTCCCAAAATACCTCCTTGGAGGGCTAAGAAGGCTTCAGATGAGAAGCCGGCCAACAGGGCTACGCCAGCTCCTTTCCAAGGCCCCTGGTCTGGCAGCGCCGCAACGTTTCGTTTAAATTCGCAGTTTGTCCCGAGCGTTTCCCGACTCGTTCCCAATACGAATGCCTGAAGCCTTGCCGCAGGTCTTTCGCAGCTCCTTCGACGTTCACTTTTCGAAGCTTGCAACCTCGCCAAGCATGCTTTCTGGCGTCTTGGCAAACATCTCATACTACCGTTTTCCTCGAAGCCTCGAAGTTTCTAGTCAACCTTGCCAACCAAAACTGCTGCCCCGACCTGAAAAAGTCATAGAACTGCTGAACAGTCTTTCGCTTATGCTCAGACCTGAGCAAGTCGTTAAACTACTTGTAAAAATGGCCCCGGAATGACGACAAGGGACAAGGACATAAGAAATGACGGGGGACAGGTGAACTGACAGCGGTTCCTGGATGAGGACCCGCCCTGTTATCCCGGTTTTCCCGACTAGAGTTAAGAACGCAAATTGAGAAAGACCGCTAAGAGCGCAAATTAGGGAAGCCCTGGACGTGGCTCCGATTTTGTCTTCGGAACCTCGAACCATTTGAAATCAGCGCCCCAAAAAAAAACGCAACGGAATAGGCCAGGAAGCTTGGGATTGAGAACCATAAATTCGGAAAAAAATAAGCTGAACCTTCTGCAAGAACGCAAACCGATAAGGAGGGCAGCGCACGGCAGCGCTCTCAGACACAGGACAGCACACACAGCACGCACAGCAGAGCGAGAAGCGGAGATATCCTTCTTTATATTTTTATTGCTTGTACTTTTTTGCGCAAACTTGGGATATAAAGGCAAAGAGCTGACGGCACAAGTCAGGGCGCGAAACACAAGACCGGATGTTGATTTGTATCCATAACTTCCGAAACACGTCACAAACGACTCTGGCTGGCAACATGGCATATCGAAACTGAAAATGCCTGCCAAACGCCTGCTCAGGTCCGAGCAGATTTACGACCTGTGAGTGCAGTTTCTGCTGCAACGAACTCTAAATGTCTTACCACAGCAAGCTGACTTACAGGGAAACGACAATCGCATCTGGGATTCGGCGGGAGATTCCACACAGCCCGCAACCAAGAATCGAAGCTGACAGCCACCCGCTTCTCGTGACGATCGGCGGCGCTATCGACGGATCGTGTCTTGCGTTTTCCCATGCGCTAGCGCACTCGTCCTGCCCACGTCTCGGTGGGACTTGAGCCAACAGCAGCAGCGCAGTACTATACAGGGTCCGAGGGGAGACGGGCCACGCGGCCGCGTTCTACCCCACCAGAGCGCCCTGGAGACAATGCCCGTCGCCAGGCAGAGCGCCTCAGGTTCAAGGGAAAACCGCTCTCAAAACATGCGTTCGGTGCCTTTTCAGAAAATATATCTGCAAAGGTGCCCGGGGCTGAGAATGAGCTGCAAGAAGGCCCTGGACGTCTAAACCCAAGGAAATTCCACTGCGGGACATCCCGGACCTCGATCCGCAGGTCCTGGGGCCAAGAAAAGACAACTACAGAAAAATCACCACCGGGCGAACTGTAACGACGCATGCGTTGCTACGGTTCGTCGAAAATTATGGTTCCACCGAAATTGCACCCACGCACCCCAGAGCTGCCAGAAATGTGATGTGAGATGCCCTGAATGCGAATATGATGACTAAAAAGCCCTAGGTGCAACAAGCACGCTACTAGAATACAGGTGAGACAAGCTGCGCGCAAATTACGAGAGGAGGCATTGGGAGAAGGATACTACTGCTGTGCAAAATTATTCCCAGCATCCCCCTAGCCCTCGACCTGCGCCGAAGCATCCCTTGCCTCTCCTGTCACTCGCAATCGGCGGCGCGCAGGGGCGGCACCGGCAGCCTGCTCGCTCACGAGCGGGTGCAACCAGCGGTACCCCTCGGTACCCAGGTCGACCCACTCGGACTTGCCGTCCACGTCGTCGCTTCGGACGATCTCGACGCGGCCGGTCGCCGACTGGCTGATCACGTCGTGCTTGACCCAAGCGCTGCCCTTCATGATCTCCGGCTGCAGCCCCTCGTCTTTGATCGGAACATCCAGCTCGGCAAGCTCGAAGAATCACAGCCTGTCGACGTGCACGGGCTGGCTGAAGCCCAACGACGTGCTGCCCGTATCTGGGTCAGCCAAAATGGCGGACTGCAGGCTCACCATCTTGTGGGCGCGGTAGATCCTGGGGCGGAACCTCGGCAGCAGCCTCGCCGAGGCACCATCGACCGCCCCGATCGCGCGGGCCACCAAAGCGGGCGGAGCGCGGAAGAGGCCCGCGTGGCCGGTCTGGAACTCCCGAGCGCCCGGTTCCTGCAGCGCGCGCGCGTCCTGCTCCTCGTCGTGGGCCGCCTTGATCTCCCTGGCTACCGTGGCATGCGTCGACTCCAAGTGCTCGATGAGGTCGCGCACATAGTGGCTGGGCTTGAACGCCTTGCCAGGCTAGATTCGAGCCCCCTGAAGACCTCCTCGATCGGGCCCTGCGGGAGCATGCCGGTCGCGATCTCGAAAGCAGACCTGCCAGAGAGGCGACGCATCGGCGTAGCGCGAAGGCACCGCTGAGCCAAGGGTACCCAGCGCGCCCAGCGCTCGGCGCGAGAGCTGCAATAGCTCGCCAGGATCATGTTGATCTTCGGGGTGGCGGGCGCTGCCCAGCGAGTGCTTGACCCCGAGCAAGTCGTTGATCTGGGCCACTATCTCACTCGCGAACGCACTGCCCCCGTCGCTCCGCCGCACCGGCGGGATGCCGGCCAGGACGAGCATGACGTCCTCCACCGAGAACTTCCCCCACGTTGAAGCCGAGTTGTCCGGAGGTGCCTTGGGCCAAGCGCAGCGCAAATTAGCGCACTCCGCATGCCAGATGCAGCTGCAGCCCTCCGACTCCGGCGAAATCGGCCCAAGGTCGTCGACCCCAATCAGCCTGAAAGGCCCGTCGTAGAGCTAAATCCTTGCATCGGCAGTCAAGCCGGGTGCCGGCTTCACCATCCGGCAAACGCTGCACAACGAAATCCACTTCTGAAAGTCGTGCTCAATCCCTGGCCACAGGAACTGCTTCGCGAACTTGGCCAAGGTGTCCTCGGCGGAGCTGCGCATGCCCATGGTCTCGCTGTCGCGGCAGTAGAGAAGCAGCTGCCTCCTCGACAAAGGCCTGCACAGCCACACATTGTAGCAAAAAGATCGAAGACCACAGCGGGCACGACGACCCTGGAAACGAAGCTCACGAGGTCGAGCCCCACTCGCCCTTGCAGGAGCCCGCCCCTGTAGCTGTAGCCACCCATCACGCGAAGCGCCACCGAGGCCCTCGATCGCACGGTTCTCTTCCTCGTAGCGGCGAAAAAATACATGGGCAGCGTAGATGACCTCGAAGTCCCCATCCTTCTGCAGGAGCGAGATGACCTGGGCCCGCTCCACTGAAGAGGGGCTCGAGGGAATCAACTCGCTCTGCTCGTCGCAGGCCTTCGGCGCGGGTGGCAGCATACAACATCTCGACAACAATGTCGCGCGATTTGTCCAAGCCTCGCTGCGAGTAAGACGCGGTCGCGTCCTCGTCGATGTCAATCTCCTCGAGGATCTCGCCCGCCCTGGCATCCATGGTCTTGCGCTTCATTAGCTTCCCCTCGCTATCTGCGCCGTAGAACAGGACGAGAGCCCAGGAGCGCACGATGCAT